TGTGTGTGTGTGTGTGTGTGTGTGTGTGTGTGTGACATGCACATGCACACACAAAAAGAGGTGAGATATTGCAGGTGGATGCCTATTTGTGTATGCGCACACATACACACACAGAAGAAAGGAAAAAACAGTCAAACAGCTGCAGACAGAGCAGACCGAAAGTGAAACAGCAGAAAAGTGACAGAACAGACTGGAAGGACGTTGACTTGGGTGAAGTTGGGTCTATTCTTTAGCTTACCTCGTTTGTTCCCTGGTCAAGGCATAATACAAACGCTTCGTCATGGCTTAATGGTGCCTGCATTACAGTTTCATTCCCACACACACCACTCCCTCACCCTTGCTCCCCCTTCCACCCATCCTCCTCGTCTCTCACCCCTCACACTCCCAATATCTCAACCACTCCCCCAAACGCACCCCCTTTCCCTGTCCCCTCTCCCTCGCCCCTTCCATGAAAAATGATATCAAGCATACACAGGAACAGCACAACACAACCTCATGAGAGGTGCCGGAAAGTCAACCAGTAGATTGCATGCAAGTTATCCATCATTATGGCAAACACAAAATGAGACCTCCATTTACAATTTTACACAGCGACGACAGCGTCTTAAACATTCACTGGTCGACCATCGTCCAAAAGGTTGTGTACATTCAAACATGTGCTTCCCGCCATTGCCAGCCCCTGAATGGTTGGCTGTCAGCCTAACCACAGGTCAACCCATGCGCTGCCACTGGGAGGCCACTTGTCCCTGAACTATGAGACTACCTTCTTCCCCGGAACATAACGCATATGCATTGTATTCGATTTTTTTGAAATCTTTAAAAAAAAAATTGAAATGTACCCATGAAAACAAAGACTTGCATGGGCTATACCATCATAGTAATTCTCACGACACGAAGCATGCCAATCACATGCTAGCCGGATCGGATTTAAGGTGGCCCATCACAATTGCCGCATCGAGCAAGTTCTTCGCGATTGCGCAACCGGCGCTCCCTCTCTAGAGGCAGAGGCAGGCGATGAGTGGACCTGAAACGTAGTATAAGGGTATTGAGATGTTGCAAGATCTGGTCTGCAAACTGCTCGCCCTGGCGGCGATAACCTTTCCGTATCACGCGCAGTAGGTGGTCCCGGTGAGAATTCTCCACTTCATGCTGCGGCATCTGTTCCTCATCTGGAAAGGGTCGGTTACAGGTGCAGCCGGGGGATGCCCAACTTTACATCTGGAACATGAATGGAGACGATGCTGTCGGTGATGGCGTCGGGGATAGTCCACACGGTAGACACATACTCTCCATGATAGTCTCTGAAAACATGGATGACACACGGCTTGTTGCCGACATGCTAGCAGGACTGCTGGCCCATGTTCACAGTTTCTCAAGCATGCCATGTGAAGAACACAACGACATATCAGGCAAGTCATTCGGGGTTGGGGGGACAAGACATTGTGTCACATTTTTCAGGTCAGACGCTGGCAATGACCATCCCTTCATAATATTTAGAGCAGAGACTATGCCGTGAACATCCTAAGTGGTCTGTGCGCGTATGGGAACACAAGGGCATCGTGCAGAGACTGTTGTCTGAAGAGGCCTTCACACCATGAGTGGCAGAATCCGTCTGAGCTGCACAGCCAAGAGACGGAGGGGGGAGGGTCCAGCTGGATTGTTCTCAGTGTGTGTGCTTTAAACAATCACCACAGCAACATGTTCCACACAGACACACATATATCACAAAACGCTGAATTACCACGTCATATTTGAAAATGATTCTGATGTGTTGGTGAAGCGGCATTTCACTGCTGTATTTTGAGCGGTGCAAGTCCTGCCAAGTTCGTGTCGATGAGCGGAGGATGCCTACACCTTGGTGAGTTACAATCACGAAAGGCTGAGTTTCCATGCCATATTTGAAAATGATTCTGATGCGCTGGTGAAGAGGCCTTTCGCTGCTGTATTTTGAGTGGTGCACTTACCTGTTTACCTTCCCCCCCCCCACCCTCTCTCTGTCT